TATATATATATATATATATATATATATACATATTAGTGGCACTGGATACAGCCAGGGAATACTGGTAGTGTGGTCATATAGGATAAACACTGGACTGATGACTATAAGGTTGGAAGTTCAAATCCACCAACCATTTCTCAGAACTCTGTACAGGGTCACTATGAGTAGGAACAGATTTGACAGCACTTAACAACAACAACAACAGATATAACCAAAGATACATCCACTCATAATTTCTATATAAACAATTCCTTGACTTTGTTTACACACATAATTAATTTCTGAGTAATCATTGGATGCCAGTGCTTTGATAAACCATTGACAACTTCTGTTTCTTCCAAATCTATACTCAGCTCCTCAAAACCTTTGGAGCTAAGAACATCCCTCATAGATTTATACATATCATAATATATTCATACTTGCCATCTAAATCAAATAGTAGCTGAACATTTATAATGTAATGTCAATATCATTAGCATAGCAAGTACAATTTAAGAATCTAGCCTGTAAACCTATATGTAAAGATGAGAGAGAAAGATCTGGAAAACTAGACATAAATGAGCACGCTGCAAGAATCCCATGATGCTTTCTTCATTTGTGTGTGCAATTTTCCTGCTTGCATGTACATGTACACAGCTTGAGTGGTGCTCTTCATTATATTTTTTTATCTAATACCCAAGAGGTTACCTTTTCAGTTCCTTCTTCTTTGAGACTAATGATATCCAGATCAAAATCCTTCCTTAAGCCATCAGTTTTATTGAAGGTGATGCGACCAGTCAAGCCATCCCACCGAGCCTATGGGCAAAAAGAACGTGTCATTACTGTTTCACACTTATCATTTATAATCCTCAAACCATCAAAATGATAATATCTGAAATTCATCACAGTATCCAATTATTCACTTTCATCATGCTGTTATAAACCATTATATTGGTTCAGTAACTCCGCAGCAGAATACTTCCCCATTTTATTAGCACTCATTTATTTTGCCAGTTCTAACATCTTAACACCAGTCAAACCTGTAATAGTGACAACTTATGTGGGCAGTAGGAAAAGAATTACTGTAAAATAGTTTACCCATGGAGTAAACAAAGCCTGAGAAATCATGATATACAAAGTTTTCCAAGGTGAATTAAATCTGCTCAAAATGCTTCTGAGAGGAAGGAGTTACTTTCTCTCTTTTTCCATCTGAAAAGAATATTATCCAGTGGTATGTCATCACATTTTCAGCTGTTTGTGTTTGGGGCTGTACTGGTGATTCAATGGTAGAATTCTTAACTCCCATTGAAAGACCTCCCATTCAATTTCCAGTTAATGAACCTCATTTGCAGCCATCATCTATCTTTCAGTGGCAGCCTGTGTGTTGCTATGATGCTGAACATGTTTCGGAAGAACTTCCAGACTGATACAGACTAGGAAGAAAAGCAATCTACTTCCAATTTATCAGTCAAAGATACCACTATGGATTAGTCTGAGCTGCAATCTATCATCCAGATGACACAGGACCAGGTAGTGTTTATTCAGTTGTGACTCTGGGTGACTCCACAGCAGCTAACAAATACAAAGATATGATTTTGGAGTCCATGTATGCTTCAAATGGACTTAGAGTCCATTTGGAATCTTGGAGGTTGTATTCACCTAGCAGTGCCTCCGACTAAAGGCCTGACAGGACACTTCTCAAATTATCAGTCATTTAAAACTTTTATTGACCACAATTCTACTCTGAAGCACATTTTCCATCATGATCAGGACTCAACTCAACTGCTACGATAATGTCATTTAGACATTATATTAGTTTTATGGCTGCAATAGTTTTAAAGAACAGAAATTCGTTCTCTCATAGTTCTGGAGGCCAGGAATCTGTTCATAGAGTTATGCTTCCTCTAAAAGTCCTGGCCTTCCTTAGTTTGGAGCGGCATCATTCCAATTTATACCTCCATGATCATATGGCCTTTCTCTCTGTATTAAATATCCCTAAAATTCTCTCTTTTAGGGTTATTTGTGATCTCACCTGGATAATGCAAAATAATCTCCCCATTCCAAGATCTTTAATCACATTTTCAATTTTTTTTTTTTTCTTTTTATGCCATATAAGACAAGGCTCAGAGTTTAGAATGAGAATATCTTTTGGGGTTTATTACTCAACCCATCACAGATAGCAACATCCTTTCAGAAAATAAAAAAATCTCGATATTCTTCCCTTCAGAGAACTCACATTAGTATCCTTTCACCATGTTTGTTCAATCCACATGCTAAGAAAATAATCCAAGAAACTTCATTATATGAAGAAGAACTAGAGGAAGACTTATTAAATAACCTGGATTATATGGCATCATAATTACAGGAAGACACATTAATAGTCTGTGATATATAGATGACACAATTTTGCTTGCTGGAATTAAAGAGGACTTAAAATACTGATGAAGATCAAAGACTACAGCCTTCAATATGGGTTGCACCATATTGAAACAAAAAGAAAAATGCTTACCACTGGACCAATAAATGACATCATGTTAAATGGAGATAAGAATGAAGTTGTGAAAGATTTCATTTTGCTTTGATCCGCAATCAATGCTCATGGAAATAGTTAAAAAAATCAAATGACACATTGCATTAGGCAACTATGCGGCAAAAGATCTTTTATTTTTAATAGCCTCATATGCATGTGAAAGTTGAAAAATGAATAAGGAAAACTTAGGAAGAATTGAGGCATTTGAGTTATGTTGGAGAAAAATATTGAAAGTAATATGGTAAGAATAACAAACAAATCAGTGTTGGAGGAAGCACAACCAGAATGCTCATTAGATGGCAGGATGATGAGACTTCATCTCTCATACTTCACACATGTTGTCAGGAGGAATAAGTCCCGGGAGAAGGACATCATGCTTGGTAGAGTGTCAAAGATATTATATTTGGTAAGGTGGAGGGTCGGAGAAAAAGAGGAAGGCCCCCAGTGAGATGGATGGGCAAAGTGGCAGCATCAATGGGCTCAAGCATGGCAACAATTGTGAGGTTGGCCTAGGATTGGGCAGTGTGTAGTTCTGTTGTACATAAGGTTGCTATGAATTGATACTGACTCTATGGCACCTAAGGACAATAGCTCCCTGAGAACAGTCCCAACTAGAACAGGTTCAGGCTATCCAGCTTCTGTTTGTTTATTCATCATGTCTTCTGCCTTCCACTCAGACTATTCAACTCCTACTCATCCTTCAAGATTCCTGGTGTGGCACTGTAGGATCAGCACTGGACTGCAAACCATAAGGTCAGCAGTTTAAACCCACCAGTTAATCTTTGGAAACCCTATACAGGGTTAACAACAACTCATCTTTCAAGATCCCATCATTGCGCTCTTTTGGACAAGTCACCATTCTCCCCTCTGAAGGAAATGCTCACTATCTATATCACTATGACCTGACCAGTATCAGAGTCCTGGTGCAGCACTACAGGATAATGCACTGGACTCCAAGGTCTGTTTGAACCACAACGTTCTCAGTTCAAACTCACCAGCCACTCCTTGGAAACCTTAGAGAGTTGCTATGAGTTGGAACCAACTTGACGACACTTAACAATGACTATTATTGCCTTGTGACTTCACTGATAGTTTAGTACTGTAAGATAAACACTGGACCACAAGGCTGATTTGAACTGCAAGGTTGGTTGTTCAAACCTACCAGTCACTCTTCAGAAACCCTATGCAGGGTTACTATGAGTTGAAACTGATTCAATGTGTTTTATAACAATGACAACAACATTATTTCTCCTTTGGAGGAACTGTGTGGTACCAATGGTTAAGTGCTCAACAATTAACCAAAAGGTTAGTAGTTCAAACCCAACAGAAGTGCAGCACAAGAAAGTCCTGACATTCTGCTTACAAAAGTCCTTAGCCTTGAAAATACTATGGAACAGTTCCATTCTGCACTTATGTGGTCACTCTGCATAAGAATTGACTTGATGGGCATTGTTTTATTTTTGTTGTTTTTTCTAAGTATTTGGATAATGATTCGTACAATGCAATAAGAAAAAAACACTTATCCAACTTCAAACAAAAGATTCCTGAAGGAAAGGGATGCCTGAAATCTGGAAAGATGAGAAATTTGGCTGAACAAACATTCACAGCCTGGGAATAAACTGAGTAAAGTAGGAGAGGGTTTCAGATATTCATAGAAAAATGGAATGAGAAGATCACAGAATTTTTCCATAAACTCTTTGAAGTCCCATTATAGTCACATGTCTATAATTCATGGAAAAGAATTATGAGAGATGGATTTGGGGAGGCAGATAGATGCTTATTCATAAAGGTGTTTACAAATCATGCTAGTTTGCTTGGATTTGTCTCTGTAAACACTGGGAAATCATTGGAGTATTTTAGGCAAGGGAGTGTCATGGTCGGACATGCATTATGGGAAAATAATTTTGATGGATTTAGATGGGATGACTAGAAGTAGGTCAAGATTGTAAGTAGGGCGATGGTTACCAGGCAGTTCACATAGAACAACATATACAGAATCATCTTCATATGCCCACATGTCAACATATGAACATGATAATTCCTTTATCTCTATGCCCCACCAACTTGCAATTTATTAAATACTGATGGAAATAATTTCACAGCAACATGAACTGTTTTTCCTAACAAACTATGGCCATTAAAATCCCTACATAAAGATTATGATTAAAAAGCAAGTTAAATGTCAGTTATTAATATAATTTTTATAACAAAAAGGCAATTTTAAATGTCAGTAATCAATATAAGTTATTGTTAAGTTTTTATTGAGAATTGAGTAGTAATAGTTTTCATGGGAGAATATTGGTTTTGCACTCATCCTATTGTATTTTGTTTCATTACAATGGTTACAATGCCCTCAATACACCATCAATTCAACAGTATTTGCTTCTATTCCGTCTGTTTTTTTGTTTGTTTGTTTGTTTTGTTTTGTTTTTGTTTTTTCTTATGTACACACACACACACACACACACACACAAAGCCTCAGGAATAAAGAACATATTCTAAAAAACCTGCCTCCTGGCTAACAGTACACTGCCTTTCTCTTTCCATAAGGCTAGAATCCTCAGGGGCTCTATCTCTCCATGTCATCATATCTGGTGTCCCTGCTTCTCTGGTTAGAGACCCACATTCTGTTCATGCTCTTCTCCCTTCATGATCCTAGAGTCCTCTGTTCCTGGAATGTAAGGTATACTACTCCTTACTTTATGTTATAAAACTTCTACCTTTACAGTTGTGATAATCAGAGTTAGTCATAATAACAATTACTATTGAATCATAAGAATCTTATCCCCATCTCATTTCACCAGTCCCATCTCTAGACAAAATGAAAATGATTCAGTGGGGATTCTACCTTCCCTTGCACAATCTGAAACTAAACTCCCTTTTGAAAACTTGTAAGCCAGCCACTTTGTGCCTTTATAGATACCCCCTACTCAATTTTAGATAGCCAATGTCTAAATTTACCATCCCTATTAATCCTGTATAAGGAGCTCTGGTAGCATAGTGGTTACAAGTCGGACTGGTAACCTCAGGGTCAGCAGTTCAAAACTCCCAGATGTTCTGCTGGAGAAAGATGAGGATTTCTGCTCCCGTAAAGATTTACAGCTTCAGAAACCCTATGCAGTGTCACTGTGAGTCAGATTCAACTCCATGGCACACTATCACCATCACCACCATTAAACCTGTATATCAAGGGGAGAGGCTTGATCCCTGATGTGAAGACTCTTTCATCCATGGTTGGTATTTTGAACTACTACATTCATAAGTATAGGTCAAGTTCATCAAACTG